ATGCAGAGACCGAGAATTTGTTCTTGAAGGAAAAACTAGACCGTGAGGTGCTGTGCGGGGCGACAGAACCCTGTATACTGCATTTCCAGATCATACTGGAAAACCCTGTGCAGTTCTTCCAAACTGAACTGCAACTCACTGATGTAAATGACCATTCTCCAGAGTTCCCTGACAGGGAGATGCTTCTAAAAATCCCTGAGAATGCCCAGCCAGGGACTATGTTTCCTCTGAAGGCAGCTCAGGACCCTGACATAGGGAGCAATGCTGTTCAGAACTATACAGTCAGTCCAAACCTCCATTTCCACGTCGTTACTCACAGTCGCTCAGATGGCAGGAAGTACCCAGAGCTGGTGCTGGACAGAGCCCTGGACAGGGAGGAGCAGCCTGAGCTCACTTTAACCCTCACAGCTCTGGATGGAGGTGCTCCACCCAAGTCTGGGACTACCACGGTTCGAATTGAAGTTGTGGACATCAATGATAATGCCCCTCAGTTTATACAATCACTCTATGAGGTGCAGATTCTTGAAAATAGCCCCCTTGATGCCTTAGTTGTCACAGTGTCTGCCAGGGATTTAGATGCTGGGATATATGGCAATGTAGCCTATTCTCTGTTTCAAGGTGATGGAGTGTCTCAACCATTTGTAATAGACAAAGTCACAGGAGAAATCCGTCTGAGCAAACAGCTGGATTTCGAGGGAATTAGCCATTATAACATAGAAATCACAGCCATCGATGGAGGAGACCTTTTAGGGAAATGCACTGTGGCTGTACAGGTGTTGGATGTGAATGACAATGCTCCAGAGTTGACGATCAGGAAGCTCACAGTCCCTGTCCCAGAAAATTCTGCAGAGACTGTAGTTGCTGTTTTTAGTGTTTCTGATTCTGATTCTGGGGACAATGGAAGGATGGTGTGTTCTATCCAGAACAATATCCCATTTCTCCTGAAACCCACATTTGAGAATTATTACACTTTAGTGACAGAAGGGCCACTTGATAGAGAGAGCAGAGCTGAGTACAACATCACCATCACGGTCACCGACCTGGGCACACCCAGGCTCACAACCCAGCACACCATAACAGTACAGGTGTCCGACATCAACGACAATGCCCCCGCCTTCACTCAAACTTCCTACACCATGTTCGTCCACGAGAACAACAGCCCCGCCCTGCACATAGGCACCATCAGTGCCACAGACTCAGACTCAGGCTCCAATGCCCACATCACCTACTCGCTCCTGCCTTCCCAAGACCCGCAGCTGGCCCTCGACTCGCTCATCTCCATCAACGCAGACAACGGGCAGCTGTTTGCGCTCAGGGCACTGGACTATGAGACCCTGAAGGCTTTCGAGTTCCTTGTGGGCGCCACGGACCGAGGCTCGCCTGCACTCAGCAGCCAGGCTCT